GGAGGATGGGGCCGGAGTCTTCTCAGCGGTGCCCAGTGACAGGACACAGGGCAGCGGTCACAAACTGGAAAACCGGAGGTTCGACCTTAACATAATTTTCCACCCATCTCTATCCATTTGCTACTAGGCTGGAAATTCAGCTCCCAGTTTGGAAATATTGGCAGCACGCTGAAAACTAGACTGAGCTTAATCCCCACACGGTGCTGTAATTGCCTCGCCTGCTCATCCGGTCTGTGAACCGCAGCCATTTCTTCCCTTCCTGAATGCTGCTCCTCCTGAACTGCTCAAAACGTTCACATAGGCAGACATGCTTGATGCACGTATTTGCCAGCGAAGTTAATGAAACCTCCTGGCTGTCTGGGCTCAGCTAAGAGAGTTTCTCAGAAGAGGGTGTAATGCGACCAAACACGAGAATCCTGCCTAACCAGGATGGCTTTATTCTGCTTCCGTTTCCAATTGGACATAAGAAATAAATGTTAAGGCAAATTAAATTCTCTATTTTAATTTTGTTTTTATTTGGTTAGGTTTCATCCAAGGTAGTTTTCTGTCTGCTGCGCAGGATAGAGAAACCTGCACTTTCTAACCCTAGAAAGAGAATTAAAATGTTTGAACTGGGCTTTTGGCTGTAGTGCCAGTTCTTGGAAGGGTAACCTCCTCAGCCAGGTGACAGACATACAAGACATAATAAATATGCTTCTTAGTCTGTGGGATTGTGTCTCATGTGTAGCACTTGTTTTTTGACAGATTCCTGCTACATTATGTCAGGAGACAGTGACTGCACCAGGACAAGTCCATCAGCGGGTTCTCCGTCGGACAACGAGTTCTTGCCAGATCGGCCAAAGTATGTTTGCTCGCTGTCTCCTGATCTCATTACCAAAGCCCGGGAGGAGCTCCAAGAGAAACCTGAATGGAGGCTCCGTGATGTGCAGGCGCTCCGAGATATGGTGTGCAAAGACTATCCCTCCCTGGGGACCTGCCTGGACGATGCTTTTTTGCTAAGATTCCTCAGAGCCAGGAAATTCGATTACGATCGAGCGCTTCAGCTGCTGGTGAACTACCACACCTGTAGGAGGAGCTGGCCCGAGGTCTTCAATAACTTGAAACCATCCGCAATAAAGCCTGTGCTGGAGTCTGGTTTTGTCACGGTGCTGCCTCGCCGGGACCCCGAGGGACGCCACGTTGTCTGCATCCGTCCAGGTACTGAAATCCATGAATGTCTTTGTTCGAGCTGTCTTCGAGCTCTGTCTGGGCCAGAAATCTGTCTCCTGCTCTCCTGTGAATGGTGGTTGCTTACACAGAGTACAGGGGTTCTCTCTTTGAAATTTGAAAAGCTAACTTGTGAAGGGACACATTTGTCGTTAGCCAACGTTATACCAGTTCCTTTTCCTGTGTCAGCAGTAATTACAGTTTTGTCAAAATGAAAATGCAGTGAGGTGAGCTCATGAAATATTAGGTGATTCAAGAAAAATGAATGTGTAGCAACTCAAACTGAAACAGGGCTGCTGGCCTAGGGTTAGAACCTTGTGATTTGTTTTGACAGTAAGTGGAGAGAGGAACCTATGGCTTTGACTCCCATGTAACCCATCGGAGCCTTCCGTGTGCTTTTGGTGCTGCCAGGCTTGCCGTAAATTTCTTTTCATTCATTCTCCTCTTTTCCATTTACCTGCTTTCTTTCTGAGCTGAAACTGCTTCTAATAATGTGTGCTGGGTGGAGAATGGGGTTCTTAAAACCATTGCCTTTACTCCCTGAAGCAAACATGAGTTGTCATTTCTCTTTTGCTTAAGAAAGGCTGCTCCGAACTAGGAATGTGGCTGTTAAAGACTAACTTTTAAGAGTCCAGGAAAGTAGAAAATCAGTTTTTGGAATGTGTATTGTTAGCTTATATTTACTCTCCAACTTACCATCCATGTCTTGTAACCTCAGACAGATGGACACCCAGTAATTATCCGATTACTGAGAACATTCGTGCCATATACTTAACGTTAGAAAAACTCATTCAGTCCGAAGAGACCCAGGTGAATGGAATTGTAATCCTGGCAGACTACAAAGGAGTCAGCTTATCTAAGGCGTCTCATTTTGGTCCTTTTGTAGCCAAAAAAGTGATTGGCATTCTTCAGGTAAGACCTGAACTGGTGGGAAAATAAGCTTGTGCATTGTAAATGACTGATTATGTGTCTAGAGTTCTTGACTGTCACCAGAAACTTTGACATCTTGGCTTAACTGACAGAGTTGAAACATGTCTCTGCCCAACCAGTTTCTCACACCCTTGCCAACTTACCTCACTTGTTTTTGACTTTTGAATCCCTAAAACTAAATTTGCATTAGAAGTGCAAACTTTGAACTGGAACAGAAAAAAGCAGTTCTGCTGGGCAGTGGTAAGGAAGAGGGAGAGCAGTAAATCACAGCTGGAGAAGACACCATTCAGCCTGAATGCTGAGGAGTGTCTTGTTATTGACATGGTTCCTGTCACCCGAGATGGAGCTGACCAGTGGGCAAGTGCAAGTTCAAGTACTGCTGCAAAAATTTTGCAGAAAGGGCGTTTGAGTGGGAAGGATTTCTATCCGCTCCCTGAACGAAGAGAAGCTGCTTCGGCATAGGGAGCTGCAAGAGAGCCAGTTGTAAAAAGGATCTCTGACTTAGATGTTTAGGAGGAAAATTATGGAGAACAAGTTAAGAGCAAGGGTATAAACGCAAGCGGAGTTGTACAAAAGAGGAAGGTGAAGAGTGAGGAATAACCTGGACAAAGTGACAGGAAGATCTAATGATTTTACTTGGATCTTCTACCCCATTGTCTGGAGGAGTGAGATGAGGAAAACTTCTCTTGAATGGTTTCACTCCCTCATTACTTTTGTTCTGGCCTGAGCTGATTAGGTTCTTTGTTATATCTGGGGGGGGTAAGGAAGGATAAGAGGAATCACAGGAGGTTATGGAGATGAGACTAGTGAGTTTATGAATGCCTGTATAAGAAGTTGCTCCTTTAAATTGTGATTTAAATGCTTCCTTTAACTGTCTGAGCCTGTTTTTAATTCGCACAAATGAAGCAACGGGTGTCCTGCTCTTACTAGAGGAAGCTAGTCACCAAACAAAAGCTGAACTTGGTGAAGGACATAAACTATATAAATGTGTTGCATCAACCTTGCTAAGCTGCATCTCTTGTAAAGATGATCTATAATTCACTGACCTTCACAAGGAGAAAAATAGACCTGCAGTGCACATTACCTGCTTTTCACTCCAAGCACTGACTGCTTGCTTTGTGTATGTAGAGCTGGCTGTAAGGGAAAGAAACTTCACTGTGGCATGAGACAAGTGCTGATCATGAGGGTTTTGCCTTGGAAAAATGTTTTTGCAAATAAATTTCTTCAGCAGAAATCCCAAAACTAACTTGTTTTAAACCATCCTGTATAGGAGACGCTGCATATTCTGTTGGCAGCAGTCTGTATTTTGCAGTTAGCAGGGACAGAATAGTTGAAAGGGCAGAAAAGCAGTAATAATGGTCTTCCTTATATAAAAACAAGTTTGTGCAAAAGTATCTTGGACAAAAAATCTTACATAGTTGGACACACCATTAGAACCAGCCTGCTCTGGCTCTGAGCTTAGTGCACTCCTTAGAAACTAGGGTCATCACTTTGTAACTGTGTCCTCATCAGGACTGGGAATACCTGAGGACAGTGATTGCCCAAGTGTCCTTGTCAGGGCAGATGCAGAACAACATAAGAAATTAGGATTTACCGACAGCAATATATTTCTCGATGCAAGGTTTTCTTGTCTCTTGACTTATTTTTATGCCCGCTGATCTCAGCCTGAGACTATTCCCTATTACAAGGTGCGTTTCTGTTGCTGTATTGGTTTGTTCTGGTTCCTCAGGTGGAAATTTGGGAGCCAGTGGGTTGTGCTGACAGTCAGTCTCAGAAGATTTTAAAAAGAGGAAGATGGCAAATGTTTTTTTTAAACTGTATTACAAAAATCTTCTTTACCCTTCAGGATGGATTCCCCATTCGAATAAAAGCTGTTAACATAATCAATGAGCCTCGTATATTCAAAGGCATTTTTGCAATCATCAAGCCTTTTCTGAAGGAAAAGATAGCAAACCGGGTAAGAATTTGTGTCATTTTAACATTAATGTTTTAAGATCCTTGCTTGGCCACTGAAAGTAAAAACTGTTGAAAAACTTCTCAACTAGAAAAATATTGGTGTTACTTACTTGATGTAACTGGTCCTTTCTGCTTTAATTTTTAAAAAAATATGCCTGATGGTAAAATTCTTCATTAGAGAGAAGCTTTGAGGAATTTTAGTATCAGCATAACATTAACCTGGAAGTTCAGTACTTGTATCCAGGACATTAATTCCATCCCAGGAGTTGGATTATTCTGGCCAGTGGTGCTTTGTTTATGAGGTAGTGTCACAGGAAATCTGTGTTGCGCCTTCCTTGGTCTTCTGCATTCTGCAAGCGTCCCGCACGGCACGTGTATTCCCTTCATCGGACTGGATGTAGCCGCAAAGGATGCTGCTTCCCTCCTCTACGAGGATAAGTACTTCCAATCCCATGAACAAACTTGGGAATGAGCTGAGTGTGGAACCTTGGCACAGACTGACAAATGTCAAGTTCCTCTTGCTGGGAGTTAAGCTGCGCTAGACTTAGATTGTCTCGAGGCTTCTCTCCCTAGTGTGTCTAACTGCACCTGCCCGATGTTCTGTGCTGCCACTTGCCTGTAAAGACATCACTTCTAAAAACTGTCCTTGAGCTCAAAATAAGCTTGTTAGCTGACTGTTTCAGTAATTTGCTGTACGGTGTTTGATACTCACTATTAAAGCTGTCTTTCTGCTTTCTTCTTCAGTTTTTTCTTCATGGCTGTGATCTGAATTCCCTTCATCAAAACATTCCTCCCATGATCCTTCCTGAAGAGTATGGTGGTACTTCAGGGAAGCTGGACATCTCTGCGTGGAACGAGCTGCTGCTGGCCTCTGAGGAGGACTTTCTGCATGATTTCTCCCAGCTGGTTCTCCCATGTGACAGCTCTCCCCATGACATGCTAGTGAGTGGGGATGCTGATGAAAAGCAATGTGATGATTCTCTGAGAGGCATGAAACCTCAGCTCTATTACTGCTATTAACAAACCAGTGAAGGGAAGCTTTCCTGCACAGTTAAGATCTATTCTGACAGGTGATGTTGTGAACTCTGCCTTACTCCTAAACCTGCAGTTTAGGAACAGACCAAGGCACTTTACACTGTAGAACCAAAGGAAGATGAAGAGGGCACGATGGGGGCAGGGCAGAGTTTGCAGAGGATAAAGACAAAGAGCACAAGTTAGGTAGAATACTTGAGGCTCACCAACCCCTGTGGGGATGATGCAAACCGGTCTATTCTTTCTAAAGATAAAGAAAAAAGAAATATTGCCGGATGGTAAGCTTGATAGTTTCTTTTCCCCTCCCCACATAGGCAAAAACCGACAACAATGATTTACTAGCTTTATGACCATCTGTTCTCATCCCTTTCTGCAAACACAAGTAATCCAAAACAAAAAAAATGCTATTGAACCCTGCAAAATGTAGTTCTGTCAGTGAAGACTGCTTAAAGTCACAAAAGCCTAACTTGGCCTGTGATCACTTGGTTCCGAAATATCCAAAATATCTCAATTAATATTTGTCCCAAATTAATACAGAGCAAACCTTCCTTCTCCATGAATATGAGCATGGAGATTATCTCCAAAACTTCCTCACAGTAGGAAGAACTACAACTGCTGGATTACCTGCTACAAGATCTATGCCAAGTCTTATTATAAATAGATGCTATCTTCATTTTTAGAAACAGCAGGTTTTTCAGGTCCAAGTACTAAGGCTTTTGATTAGGTAGCAGCTTCAGACAGTGAGGCTCAGGACCAAATAAGAAAAAGCTGTATCAGCCACCTTCCCACACTGTCTTCAGCTGGTTGTGATAAGGAACAGGATAAGTAACTCATACATAGAATTTTTAAGGTGGCTTTGTAGCAGTTGGCATCTGATATATAGAAGGCAATACTTCATGTAAGGCAGCAAAGTGCTTCTTTAGCTTGCTACTTTGGACAGAATTTGAGTTGAAGTCTGTGAAACCAAATGCAGACAGGCTATTTGAAAGCACATTCTCAAATTTCCTGGTAGTGTAGCATTTTGTTCACTGTGCTCGTTGGTAATTTTGTGAAATGTTACAGCTTTGCTTTCAATTTTATTGACCTCTTTTGTCTTTGGTTGTCACGTTCCTGTATGAAGTTAGACTTTAGCCATCTCTGTAATATTTACCCGTAGCCTGTATGCCTGTGCTTCTAGGTCTTTGTCTAGAGACAGAACTAAGACTCTGACATGAGATCAGGATAAGACACCTATGTTGACATAAGCTGTTCCTACTCCCCAACTTCGCTCTATTTAACGGTCTTTGATTAGAACTTAACTCTCAGCACACTCTTTGCACGTGCTTTTCTGCACTGTAATACCGTGGACATGGGAAACCTCACTAGGACCAGAAAAGCACACCCTGTTACTTCAAGGCGAAACCTTTCACTAGTTAGTGAAAAATAACATTCCTTCTAATTGGAGAATTATCTCTAGAGCACTTTCTCTGGATGAAATTTTTATTTAGTGCCAAGTGTGATTATAGGAACCGGTTACGTTTCTGTAGATATAAAACTAAAGCATCTCGAGGATTTCAGACATTCATTTTTCAAAGTGCCAAACTGTTTTGAATGTCTGTCTTCCTCTCTGCCAAAAAGAGACGCCTCTACCTACCACTGTAAGAACTTCCTGATCTGGCAGCAGACCTCATCCTGGAACTAGGGGGCAGCAAACGCCAGACCTGTCAGCCAAGCTTTATCAAAAAGAGACTGGGTTTGGAGCAGGGGTATAAAAAACATGAAGTTGGTTTTTTTTCCTGGGTGGCAGATCAGAATTTGTGGGATCCAGGAACTCATCACTTGAACTGTTCGGATTAAAGGTGAGAAGAGATGAATTTTCTGCATTGAAAGCATCTGATTTTCCTACCTTTAGAAGTCATTTTTTTAAACCTCTTTTGACAGCTATTGCCTTTGGGGCAGGGAGGGGACAAAAACCAAGCTAAAACCACCCTACCACTTTCATCTATTTAAAATAAGGCAAAAGACTACTGCTAGCTGCTTCCTCATTTCTGACCAGAACACGCTGTGTGTTTTGCAGTGATAAATTTGGTTCTTTGCACCACCTAGCAAGACAGTAGCACACAGCACCAGAACATGGTAAGGTAAGCAGCTGCCCATTCTGTTTAACTGCCAGACCAGAGTGGTGTTTATGGATTTTTTTAGTGCCTCTTAATTCCAACCACAATCTACAATTAAAAAAAAATAAAACAGGATAGACCATTTTTCCTAGAAGTGAAGGTGTGACTACTGTTTGATACTCTCCTTAACTGCGCTGCAGGGCTTGAAGAGGTGGTGGTTGGACAGCTAACCTCTAAGAACAGCTATTCTGATCCCCTTATATAACTACTATAGAGGGGGGGTGAATAGTCAAAATTCTGTTGTGTCCTTCAGGTAATGGTGTTCAGCAGAAGGCTGAGGAACCTCTACAGAAACCAAAGCCTTTACCAAGGCTTTTATATTCTTTTTTATGCCTTAAATAGTAGGCAAACTGGAACCATCTCTCCCTTTTCTCCTCTGCTCACAAAGAATAAAGCATACATAGCTAAGGGTGTATTATCAGTGCTGAAAAGAGCCTGTGTTATGCCTCCAGAACATCTTTTTCTTAAAGCTGGCTGCTGGGCAGTTGATGTTGGGATGCTTGAACTAAGCCAGGCTTACTGGCATCTGTTCCTTCTGATTTGCTCTTTCTTGGCTTTAGAACTCAGACAGACAGAGCTGCAACTTTAGTGACCTGTATCTCTAACCTTTTTTAGGTTTGTAACCAATGCTTGGTTTGTCTTATAGCAAGCACAGCTCTGTCTTGTATGTGCCTGACTACTGAGCCGAGAATGCTCTTGGAGCTTTAGCACTCACTGGCAAAGTAATCTGTTTGTTCCCAAAATTTCTCATGTCAGCATTTGTTAAAAAAAAAAAAAAATTCAAACCACTTGCTTTAACTATAGAGTCTCCTTATCTGCAAGTTAAGAGAACAGATACAGGTTGGCAGTTTTGGGGGTTTTTTTGTTGGGTTGTGTTTTTTTTTTACAGCACTAAACCTGTTCTTTTTTCCACTTGAGATAACTTTTTTCCAGAGTTTACAGCCTTGCCCAGTACACAAGCCATCCCTGCCAAATCCAGCTCATAGTGAGGAAAGATGCTTGAACTGCACTGGGCAGCCGTGGCTTTTGGCATTAAGTGGGACAAAAGGTAGCTGATGCTATACATAAAAGTACTTGAATTTATACTCTTGCAAATGGGTGTTACAAACCCTGAGGTATTTTCAGGAACTGGGTAAAGTATCATTTTTGTTAAATCTCATTTTGGCATGAGTTAATCATAGTGTTACTCAAACTACTAATTTTGCCTTCTGTTACGTGTGGGCCTAGAGGTGTTGGGTGGTTAAGTGTACATCTTATTTTGACAAAATTTATTTTTATATTGCATTTTATAAAACGGAGTGGTCAAAATGTATAATTTTATGATGCATGACTGGGTGATTAAACACATTGTAACAGCTGCTAATTTGATATTTTCAATATGTTTGCCTTGTGTCGTCTTGGGGTATTTTATTGTAAAAGTCAGTAGCCATGTATACGTAATTCCACACTAAACACATGGTTGCAATTAAGCGTAATGCCTAGAAAAAGGTGTCGCTTTCTACTGCGGAACTAAATTTTACTCGCACAACTGTATGCAAGTAACTTAAAGGAATAGGATTTGGCATTCATAGACTCACATGGAAGCTGCCTTTTCTTTCAAAAGAAATGAACTATGATTTACTATTTGCTGCATGGAGTGTCCAACTGGACACTGCAGCAGCTAATTAGCATTCTAATCGCTCTATCTAGTATTCTGCTGCTTCTTAACACTTCTCAACAGAGCTGGGACAGTTTCAGTAGTTAGTCTGCTTTATTCAAATGAGTTTACAGTGCAAATGCCTTAGTGCCAATAATAATAATTTCAGGTACATTCTTTTTTATAAGCATATTAGGTGAAATCAATTAGCAGCTCTATTTTTCCACCGTAAGCATAACGTTGTTTAAGCCAGTCATACACTTACACTCAATATTTGGCAAACGTACTGAAAAAGAAGTCACTACAGCAGTTGTCTCTTAGAAACAGCAAGTTTGTTCTTAAAAGGAATGAGAGTTAACCTGTTTTCCAACCTCAACATTCCATTCTTTTCGTGAGGAATAAGAGGGGGTTTGCCACAACATGGGAAAGTAAGTATAATTTAAATACACTTTTGCTTTAAATAAATTTTTGCAGTGGAATGTAGAAATCAAGCAGCATGGCTTACACTTCCACGAACCGAAGCATTAGCATACTAGCACATCATGCTGAATATAATTGTTCTTTAAAATATATTACTTCGTATTTAGCTAAATATTACTTCTATTCAATAGAAGGGTTGTGGCTATTGGACAGAACAGATATTTTCTTCTGTGCTTTGACAGCACAGCTGTAGTGAATTTTAAAAATGTAGTAATAAGATAACCATGGCTGAAGGTTAAAATAGAAAGATAACTGATAATGCTTTTGATCATGCATCAAGCATTATACAATACGAAACTTTCTGCCACCTCTATGTTAGTATCAACATAAGAAACAGTAACTTGGTGTAACTAAAGCAATACATGAGCATTTTGGCTTTCAGCAAAAAGTTCTCCACTTTTGTAAGCTCAGAGAGGTGCAGCAATTTAACTGAAGTCCCTGTTAGTAAGGATGGGAGGAGCCACCAGTGTCCAAAGATAGAGAAGGAGACAACACCAGCTGGAGGTCATCTTCACCCACACAGCTGGCCACTTACTTGTCATTGTTTTAAAATCTGCATCAGGGCTAAAAAGTAAAGAAGTCAATTAATAGATACAGAAGGCACCTTCCACCATTCCTTGCTACCTCCGATAAGAATCTGAAGCTAGGACAGTCAGTTGGGACAGTCCAACACAAGAGCCTTTGTGAGAGCACAGTCAGACAACCCGACCAGCAACGTTCTGTGGCTCCTTCACAGGCCTGTTGTTTTTAGCACCCAGTTTCCAAAATCAACCTGCTTGCATATGTCGATGCACTACTCTTAAAGGAAATACTTGCACGAGCTGCCCCACAGGCTCCTGGTGGCTGCCGCTCTGTGTCTTTGCTACTCTATGCAATAGGGGAGTCC